GTAAAAGACGCCAAATTTGAGGTATTTGACGCTTTACATGTTCAATTATTTTCAATGAAAAAAATTGATTAATTTTATATATTATCATATTAAAATAATTAAAATGGCATGAATTATTTTATTTTATGCTTAATTTATCTTATTTTTTTTATTTCTGTTACTGAAAATGTAAAAATTTGGGTTAAAAAAGAGGTTTTTTCAACTTTCCATAATAAAGTGAAACCGTTGCCATGGCAACAAACAAGTAAAAATCACCATTATCTATATCTACCGATTCCACAAAAATCCAAAAAATTGTTCAATGGATAATTTTCATTACAATGGACTAAAAAAATATATATGTCCCCAACACTGTTTCCATGGAAACAGAGGCTATATAATGGGTTTTGTACATGAAAATCAGACCTTTTTGCATTTTAAAGTAAACATTGATACAATTTTCAGAAAGTGTACTCATCAAACTAAATTTTATATAAAATTATTTTTTTTGGCAGAAAATTGACCACAATAACACTCCTTCTATGCTACTAAATAGTAAATAATCAGTTCATGTGGAAAGACTCTTGGTATACATGTCCTACATAACGCACCTTTACAATATTATTGATGAAAAAGTCAATGGAATTATGTTTCAACACCTTTTAGAAATACCTGTATCTATAAACATGCTTGAGGTGTATACATGTACATGTAATTGTTCATCATGGTTTCTTAGCATGCTCCTGTTGGAAAACAAGTTTAAGTAAAATTTTTTGACCTTATGTTGATTTAATCATTTCAAAAGATTTCAACTACATGTATTAATTTCTAGGCATCCTTAGCTAATGTCTTTACTCATCTATGACTGGTGAGGCTTTACATGCTATCACTTGAGTGAAATGTTGCAGGCATTTTATCCAGGTAGCTGCTATCTTAACAACAGTAACAAATATCTACATATCAATCATTTTAATAGTTTGTTCGTTTGTTTGCTTACCCTCCCTTCAAGATTATTTCACTCATATTGAGACGCCATCACTTGCCAGTGGAGGGCTGCAAATTTAGACCTGTACTCGACACTTATGGCCTTCTGAGCAGTGAGGGATCTTTTCCGTGCCAGCAAATACTTGATATGGGACTTCGGTTTATATGGTTTCACCTGAAGGACTGGTCTCCAAGTCCCGCAGTGGGATTTGAACCCGCAATGCAAGGATCAACTCCTTTCCCTGTGATTCTAGAGCAAAGCTCTAACCACTGCACCATGAGGGCGACTTTGATCAGTCCCAGATTCTGGATAAATGCAGCTGTATGTAAGAAGACAATAACATTGGATTTCAAGTTACAAATTCATATTTTAATGAGTTTACAGTGCAAGTACTTCCGATTTCAGTCAAATTGTAAAATTCTGCGAAGTTATTACACTGTCATGAATATTGGACAAGAACAGGAAAAATATAACAATGCCATAATGTCACAGATACATATTCTGTCCATTATCTATGGATATTTTACTACAACAATTTACATTAAACTTTACAAACACTTTTTGAATGCTACATAGAAACTTGTTAAGCAGACATATGCCACCTCCAATTAATACATCTGATGCATAAATTTATTTTACTGAATGCAAGTTCAAAGATGGAGAAGCAATGTACTATAATCACCTCAGACTCTTATTTTTTCTAAATATAAAGAAAACAGCTTATAGATAGAATGTTGTTGTGGAATCATTGTTTCCATGGATAACATTTATTGGGTAACCAGTCTCCTCCGAATCCTGGGCCACTGGTATTGGCATATCTGGTTCCACACCTTTGCTCGATCTTTCAACTTTCTTGAACATTCATGAGCTGGAATACAATGGTCTTTACTATAATAGATGGCACTGATCTTCTAAGCAAGAACTGAAGTACTTTTTCTGATTTATTTCCAATTAATGATCCATAATCTGAAATTGTGTGTTCATTTTCATATAATGAAAGGAATGAAAAAAAAAAAATGAAATGAATGAATTTCCAACATACTCACTTTATAACTAATAATGGTACAACTATTATCAAAAATAAAAGTATACATTAATTTATATAGATTGAATAAGATGAATGCAATTATATAAGCTTGATGAGCGAATTTTCTAAAACACAACCTAAGCAATGCTAAGATTAAATTGTCATGCATAATCTGGATCTCTTTTTATTTAAAAAAATGAGATACTAATAAAAATAGAACTTCATTCACAGAAAGTATTTCCAGGCCCTCATTAAAACCATTCAATCTAAATTAAAACTATCCACATGGTCTTAGGAACTGGGGAGGCATCCCCCCCCCCTAATTTTGCTGATATATAGAACACTATACACTATAGAAAACATCGCTAAATATATGCTTGTGCCACCTAAATAATAACGTCTGATGACCTTTCATTTTTGCTTGCCAAGGAATTTTAATATTATTGGTAGTGCCCCCCCCCCCCCCCCCCCCCCGAAATTGCTTCTTATGGGCCTGATCCAGACTATACTAATGTATGTATCACTTGGTGAGGAAAAAATAAATACTGTACTTTAGAAAAGCCAGTGATTTTTCTACAATTTTTAAAAGGGGCCTGTGCCTTTACAATTGGGAAAAATTGTCGACATTTGTGTCAAATTGGGAAAAAACAATAAGATTGTAATTAACTTTCATATTGACAAGTAAAAATAAAATAATAAGTAAATGTAATATCATTTATTGAATTTATTTGTTACAAAATTTTTCAAGTTCAACAAAATGGACAGTTCTACATTTTAATTTTCTTTCATTTTTGTATTTTGATTGTCCTATAGATATTTTTTTTTTTTACCATTATGGTAGAATTATAAATTGAGAAAAAAAAATCATTCCCGATTTCTCGTTATTGCTCGCATTGGAGATGGAATAATCTTGACACTATTTACAAGCATGTATTGCTGTATCGCATATTTCTCTGCAATGCCAGTCTCTGCAGGATGAAGAAACAGTTTAATTTTCGTGAAATCAAGGACACTTGTTGTAGAACTACTAGTACTTGCAAATTAAAAATAAAGCTATGCTTAACAGATTCACATGCATATTTAAATTTCTTATGATGTATTGACACAAAAGTTTGACTTCCACATGATCGATTTTCCAAGTCTTGCAAACACACAATTAAACTGTTGTTTTTCGCCGTTATTTTAAGCGTCCGAATGACCAAAAACAATAGCGTTCCATATTAGATAAGTCGTACATAAAAAATTCAATTAAACCAAAACAATACGTTTTGATTTTGGGAAAAAAGCAGTTGAAAATTGGGAAAAATCGGTAATTTTTAAGAGGGGAAAGGGCCGATATTAGGACCTAAATTGAGTGTAGAAAAATCACTGAAAGCTCACCTGTATTATGTCATAATTCCAACCTGTGCCAGCTGTCTCTATAAGACCCCATCAAAGGTTACTTCAAACTTAAAAAAAAATAATGAAAATAATAAAATTAAAAAAAAAAAATAAAATACTTATATTTACATGTACCAACTGACCATGTATCTTTTTTGAGAGAACCAAAATTTACCATGTCAGAGTAGGACAATCAACTGAGCTTAGCAATCAGTAAATCATAATCAATACTGGAACATATATAGCCAGTGCATATAAGTAAAAATAGGAAAAGTATTGACTGCATGTCAACATGTGTGCCAACATATTTTCATAACGCGCTAATGTGCGTTACTCAATTAGTTTGCACACACCGTTGCAGTTATGAGACTATATCTTTCAATAAATAATGATTCAATGCTTAAAAATCCCCCTCTTTTGAACCTACTTTTAAATCCTCTTTGAGATTATTAAATTAAAGTTTATGATAAAATTCATATTAAAATCTATCTAGGGAAAAAATCCATGTGCAACATATAATCTAGTATGTTTTGACTAAGAGTTTGAACATTTATTTGTTTACTGCATTCAAGATTGATACTTTTAAAAAAGGATTTGGGCTTCAGATCTTTTTCAGTGAGAACTAATTTGCATTGAAAAATAATGTGTCAATCAATAATTCAAACAATTTCATAAAAAATAACTGATGAAAATGCTTTCCTGATTGTATTAAAAAAAAATAGAGAGAGAAAGATGGAGAGAAAGAGAAAGATTTTAAAAAGTTGGATGAAAACTTTTTCTGCATTGCGGGAATTAAAGTCACATGCACCTTATCCGATATTCGCTGAACATGTCACAATATAAATAGATAAAAGCAGTGTTTACAGTCAGAGGAAACTCGGATTAACATGTACCCTGATCTGTTCATTCATTCCTGTTTATGTCCGTTTACATGGTTTAGGTCATTGACAAAGTTCTGTAATCCGTAGTTGTAATACGCAATTATGAACTACAAATACTTAAAATTTACAGTTAAATAATTATCTGTCTGATGCAACTATATCAAGCTGCCAAATACTCCATGACTTCTCTTCCCTGTTCGGAGTGCATACTGCATACACCACTCAGAGTGTAACAGGATCCTGGATGTTTCTTTCTTTCGTTCGTGATGTCATTTTAACATGATTAAGTGACGCAGTGAAGTGCATGATTTACAATACATCTGATTCTTTGCTCCTGCTGACTTGAATAACCGTGCAACTTGCGCAGTTCCGTATTGAAAATAAACTATAGTCTGTCCCACCAAGCTACTGTCACCACATTTTGCAACATATCTCAAAATATATAAATACCTTGGCCTTCAACCTAGGTTCGAGAGATAGATCATTTTTTTTCCAAACTTCCTGCATTTATCCGAACCCTCGAGTTCAATCGGTGTATTGACACGGCGGCAAATTCAAAGTCTACGGGGATTTAACATGGTAAACTCGTCCATTAGCGTCAAGACCACGGGGCAGGAAACCAGTTTATCGAGGGAGTAGTCGTTCTTTCCAAATTAAAATTACAAAAAATCCTAAAAATTAAACGAAAGCAATTCAGTGTGTTTTGGTAAAAAATATAAGTATTGTTTTGCATTCAAATATATTTGACGAGTTTTCTCATAAACTGAGAGAAAATAATCCGAATTCAATGCAGTACAAGTTGTGGATAACGCACTGCTCTAGAAAGGGGATGTTGACATGATGTGTAATTTACAGCTTCCTTCGATGAAAACGTAAGTTGTTTTTTTTTTAACTTCTGAAAGTACACCCACAAAAGAAGTGTTTTCAAGTGCTAATGATTTGTCAAAGTCAAGCATTATTCGGCGAAAGCCCAATGCATATTTGCACAGTAGGCCTAGTGGGGGAAAACGAAAACTTTCAGATCTATAATGGTAATGACTTTTTTTGTAAGAAGCTTAAGATTTTTAATATTTTATATGATAGGTCTACTTTCTCTTTCAGTCACAGGGATCATATCTAAAACGCAACAGTTGGTCCACAGAATTCATTATAACTGTAAACAATCCTTTCACCTGATGAATAAAATGTCAAATTTCCCCCTTTTAGTTACAGAAAATTTTCGATTAAATATACATTAAGTTGAGGATAAAGTAAGCATGCTGCATTTTATTATAAAATAAATGAACTTAGATTAGCTCTCAGAATGCAAATTATTACGTTAATCCTAAACTTTCCAGGGGAGGGGGCATGCCCCAAATACTCCCATTTTGAAATATTCACACTTCCAGTACTAACTTTGCAGTTACATTTCATCCCTTCATATGAAAGGCAGTGTGATTTTTTTTTGGTTGTTCCTCAGTCCCCCCTCTTTTTCACTAACAATTTTTTGTTAAGTTGGAATTCATAATATGGTAATGCTGCAAGTTTCCCTGGTATACAACCCTTGAGATTTCTTTTTTTTTTTTTCTTTCACCAGTATTGTAAAAAAAAAATCTTTATTATTTTTTTTTGGGGGGGGGGGGGGGGGGAGAGGGGGTGGTATTTCTTTAAAGTTCATAATTTGAAATTCATTGACTTACATCTACCCCATAGTTAACCCATTTTGTTCAAACTGTTACAATAAAGAAAGAGAGCATACAGGACAATCCCCTGCTGTGAGATATATTACAATTTTCAAAGTTCAAGGAAGAGTTACATTTATAAAAAAAAAGTTGTTAGTAATGTCAATGGCAAACTTAAATTTTCACTACCTCAGGATGCTTCCATATCAATATTACTAATCATGGCTTTGCTGTTCTTTAACAGAAGAATTTTAAAGACCCCCCCCCCCCCCATGTATTCCTATGTAAAACGCTCATCGCTCATTGTGGCCCAGGGTTAGAAACTCCCTAAAATTACAACTCGCAAATAATTGCGAGTACCAACAAAGTGAACTCGCAATTTTATAAGACTACTCGCAATTTTCATATAAAGTTAAATTCATATAAATTAAATACATGTAACTTAAGGAAAAAGTAACTACTGTACAATACACAAAATACAACTACAGTGTGACTTTTATTTAAATTACTGATTTAAATCAAAAGTATTGTGTTCTGTCATATTATATAATTTTGCTACAGTTTCAATGCAAAAAAAAAAAAAAAAATTGTGAGTTACCTAATTTTCAACTCGCAATTTGGGAATTCTAACTCGTGTTTTGTGAGTTGTATATAGTGAATTTCGAACCCTGGTGGCCCCACCCTCCTAAAATTGAACAAATTTGAATCTACACTACCTGAGGATGCTTCTATAATAACATGACTAATCATGGCTTTGCTGTTCTTGAACAGAAGATTTTTTTCAAGATGATTCCTATATATTCTTATGCAAAACTTTGACCCTCTGTTGTGTCCCCACCCCCCTAATTTGAACAAACTTGAATCTACACTACCTGAGGATAACTTGATTCTACATTACCCAAGGTTGCTTCTGAATTAATATGACTAATAGTGGCAAAGCTGTTCTCGAGAAGAAGATTTTTAAAGACATTTCCCATATATTCCTACATAAAACTTCACCCCCCTCTTGTGCCCCCCCCCCCCCTGGGTTATGATATGAATAAACTTGATTGTACATGTAATGTAATTTGTAATGAAGCTTTTACATAATTTTCATCTTTTCTTGCCTAGCTAGTGGTTCTTGAGAAGATTTTTAAAGATGCCACTAAATTTTCATGAACTCTTCATTATCTCTCCATGAAATAAGGCATGGCACTTCCTGTGAACAAACTTAAATCCCTTTCACCCAAGGATGCTTTGTCACATTTGCAGGTTTGTTTTAAATTGGCCCAGCGGTTCTTGAGAAGAAGTCGAAAACGTTTATAGATGGCAGACGCCGGACACCCTTTGATCAGAAAAGCTCACTTGAGCCTTCGGCTCTTTTTTTTCTTTCCACTACCTTCATAATTGAAAATAAAAAATACTAATCAATAAGTTATTCAATTAAATAAAAGAAGCAAATGTGTAAAAGATGATATTGACAATACAATTTTTGTGAAATATAACATCATGAACTTAAGAATTAAGAAATGTCTTTTCTCAGAGTGGGGGATTATCTTCGCCTTGTACGCATCCATTCTTTATGTCCAAAAGAAAATTTAGCAAAACATTCATTTGTAAAATTCAAGTTATGTACAGTATTCTAGCATACATGTACTAAATAAAAGGCCAGAAAACTGATATCATGCATATTGTATACAGTGTATGAGCACATTGTAATAAAGAAGTAAACTATTCTTGATTATGCCTTTATATTTATTTACATAATTTTTTTTTTTTGAAGGTTAAAAAAATTGGAGTACATTGTTATGATGACCAGACTCGAAGGCATTCATGTAATTGGGTGAATCACAGAGTCTCAGGAATCTTCTGGATTAGTAAGTTATACATGTACATGTATATATAAAATATTAAAATGTCTTTACTCTGTCTGAATTGCATACTTCAGGCTGGAATCTGAAAATAAAAATTGTAGTTTCCATATGTATATAATTTATACTACATGTATCTTGGTACATGTAGAATTGAAATTCATTCTTTAATTTCACTTCAATTACTTAACCATAAATTTTCATTCTCAAGAATTTTAATAACATTTAAGATGTGTTTTATTATCTATTGCAGACCAAAAGTGATGGCTGAAACAAATATTAACTGGTAGTCTACTTAGTGATCTGGACACTGGATAAGGCAGAAACCATTTTCAACAGAACTGTTAAGAGTGTAAATTAAAAAAAAAAACAAGATACCCACTCTCCAACTCATTCATAGCTTCATTCTTGGCTTCATTGTGTTGAATATGAGTCAAGACTTTTCTATTGTACCAAGGCTGAAGAGACTTTCAAACCATAAACAACATCACCACAGAGCAGTTGACTTTCATTTCTTCTTCTGAATTTGTATGTTATACCCTTAATTATTACAGTGTGAATTTACTTTGCACAGAAGAAGATGTAAATTAGCATAACTTCAACAAGTATTTACTTTGTCAGTTTCAGACACATAACTCAATTATTTGGTATTTTAAAAAAAAGTAATTGGCAGCATTTACTATGGAATCATCATTGTTCTTGGGGGAGGATAGGTGGGTCAAACATATCCACTAATTTATATTCCTACAAATACTTATTTTTTCAACTTGTCAGTTCATTGAATCTTTAACTTAATGTATTTTAAAGTTAACCTTATGTATGCACAAACCAGTTGAATTAAATGCCTGCCCACTAACAGCTGATTAATGCCCCCCCCCCCCCAATAAAATGATTCCACAGTTTTTCAATTTTCAAAAACTACAGAAGGCCATATACATGTATCTGCAGGTACTTTGGGTGGTTTAATCATCTTTGCTAGTGCTGGTCTGTCTGATGTCTCCATCAGCTAGCTATTCTGTATCCTACAATTAAATTCTTGTTTCCAAATAAAACAGCTGTAAAATGCTTTGTATTATTTATGCTTATTTAATTTTGTCTATAGTTTTTAATTATTTTTTTTTCTTAATGTTTGGAAAAAATAATATGAGAGGGATTAGACAAGAATTTATATTTCCTGCAAATATACATTTTTTTTTAAAAAGTGTGTGTTATATATCAGGGACCTATATACTTTAATAAGAGATCCCTGGTTATATTTTAAAAGTTCATATTCATGGAAAATCTACAGATATAAAAAAAAAATAAAATGTATTCCATGAGTACATGTTTGAGTGTGTCCTTGATCTTTGGTATTCTGGCATTTATTAATGGAAAGACTTGATATAAAATGTTTAAAATCTCAGGGCCCGGATTTACCTAATGCCGATACAGGAAGTTTTCGAAGGGCAAGGTCAAAATCCACTGGTGACGTAGTTTGATGCAGACTACAAGTCTTGTTTTGCACAAAGATTCAAAAAGTATTAACAAAGGTGGACATATGGTGTGATAAGTGTTATAAGTATATAAATCCAGGAAGTGCACTTACGGGACATGTATAGAAGTGACGAGATGTTTAATCGTGTTTACATTGAACTATATATATATATATTGTGTTCGGGATTTACTCAGTGCAAGGTAAAGTTGTAGATTTTGTTTACATTTACACTCTATAGAACGTATTCGCTTACATGTTTTGGCAAAGCAGTCATGGCACTCTTCCTTGGTTGATATTTTGCAGCCTCGAATGTTTTTAACATTCAAACTTACGAATCCTTGAGTATATGAATTCAAATGGGTCGCAGTGTTTAGCTCTTTTAAACTTCTTCTGTCAATTGATATGCAATGTATGCTTAAAACTCCGTATTTTATCACTAATTTTAAAATACACGTGTATTAGGTGCTTGGTAAGTCTCGGGCGGTATGCTTTTCCGGACGTCCGTAAGTGCAGAGAATTTCCGAAAGTGTGTTACGTCATTTCGTCAATGACGGTAAAGTACGGAAATCCACGAATAATGATGGATCCCCTTCCGAAGTGACGGCCATTTTGGCAATGTTAAATCCCCGTAGACTTTGAATTTGCCGCCGTGTCAATACACCAGTTGAACTCGAGGGTTCGGATAAATGGAGGAAAATTGGAAAAAAATGATCTATCGATCGGACCTGGGCTGAAGGCCAAGGTATTTATATATTTTGAGATATGTTGCAAAAAGTGGTGACAATAGCTTGGTGGGACAGACTATAGTGCTCTTTTATTGCGTCGTCAATCGTGCATCACGCTAAGTATTTGTCCGCTGAATTCTTGAGATTCCTTTACTTTAAATTGTTAGGCCTATACGATTTTCAACTGGAAATGTCCTTTGTTTGTGTTCATCATTTTATGTCATGGTGTTTCACAGCCGAAATTCATTAGCGATTGAATGCTTATTATCGCTGGTTTAAATTTCGCCGGTTTCAAACGCTTAAGTGATTCATAAGAGTTATCTCCCTGTAACCGCAAACCTTACCTTAATTCATAAGTTTCATCCATACACCCCTAGGCACTAAACAAAACAAACTCAAAAATAGTATTGGTGGGTGGGGGATCCAGCCATGAACAAAAAAAATCAATGCTTATCAAAATCGTAGGTTGGTGGTGGAAGAAGAAAGCTTTGGACAGGGGATGGGGATAAATATGCAGGCCTTTAAAAACTTGTGTGGAAGGCAATTTTCTCTATATTTTTGTAAAAGGTCCATTTATCTTATTTTTTTCCTCTTTATGCTTCCTAAGTATCTAACTAACGAAACTGAAAATTCGGGGGGGGGGGGGGGTCTTTGACCGTCTATCCCCCTGCAACTCTTTATAACTACGAATATTGTAGACGACTGACATGTGCTGTTTGTTATTATATTACAATGTCGTATTGTAACGTGTCGAGCGGAATGTTAGCTTCTATCGGGGGTCGTACCTTGTCATTTCAAGGTTTTGGGGATGACTTCGATATAACAATTTTTCTTAATAAATGATTGGCAAATGATTGACAACAAAGGCCTGCAAATATATACAAATAATATGGCCTAACCTTATCTAGGTTAATAATCACGACAATATGAAATAATTAATCAACTTGTTACAAATGATTGTGTTAATTACAGTGGGTAGACTATCCCTTTCACTGGCCAACCTCGGACTGACGCTTGTACTGCAGCCTTATTCAGGACACAGTCAGTACAAGTGACAGCCCTTCAACTGCTGTGCACACTGCTAGCCTTATTCAGGCAGACACACTGCGCACAACAGCCTGGTCGCCAGACAGGTCAATTAGACGAATTACAGGTGGCTAACCTCCCTTGCTGGTTAGCCTCTGAGTGGCTTGCCACTCGAAACACAACAGCCTTTTTATAACTATTCTTGTTGACCTTACTTTCTCATAAGGACAACCTCTTCTGTAAGCTGACTTTATTTTATAGTCTCACTTACCACTGTTATGTTCTATCACGTCTTAGCGGTCTTATACTTCACACAGCTTGCACTGGAAAGGACTGTCTGTACCGGGATTCAGCCTTTATATACCTTTTAACACGGAAGTTTACATCTGCAACATTATAGCTAAACCCGAATGGTCATACTATAAATTTCCGGAATATTACACTACCCACGCCTCCGATGACATGCGTCCCGCATGCGAAGTCAATAGATCAACAAATATTTTTTTTTTTTCCGACAAAACTATATTAATATGGTTGACCAAATAAGCAACAAAACAAGAACAGCAATAAAAATAACAAACAAAACTGATGAACACTATCTGTGTTAAATATAATTTCCATTGAAGTTACTGGAACATGTCAGTTATAAATTATTCTTTCTTTGGCAACAACTTTGATATCTGCCTCTCCTTCACGAAACTTTCTTGTCGTTCTGGTCACAACTTCTCTTTTCTTTGGGGATGTCTGTGTATAAACGTCGACTCCACTACTCTCTACAGGGGGAACTGCTGGTTCCATATCAACCTGGGTTGCTTTGTCCATAAGAATAATCTTCTTTGGAACAGGGATATCCTCCAAACTTGGTCTTTTTCTTGCAAAAGGCAAAGTCGGTTGGGTCTTCTTACGGAAAAGTCTTCTTTCTAACAGATTGTCTTCTTTCTTCTCCGGATCCTGTTTCTCCTTCTGCTCATCAATATCATCTTCTTCATTCTCCTCACTTGAGCTACTACTACTCGATGAGTCTGCAGAGGATATCTCGCCTATAACTTCACCAGGGTCCTGGTCCAACCAATCTTCATTTGCGCTTTCCTCATTTTTGTTTTTTTCATTCAACGAACCACCTGCCTTCTCCTTACTTTGCTCTTTTGCGCCCAGTTTGATAAGTTCATCATTAGGTCCTAAGCCAGGATGACATCGTTTGATGTGTCTCTTGAGATTGAGTTCTCTAGTGTTGGTAAAATCACAGGTTGGACACTCAAAAACTCTCATGGCGCATACCATAATGTGTTTCTTGAATTCTTCTTCTGTTCTTGCAGGTTCCGAACACATTGGACACCGCCGATATTCATTTCTTGGTGTTGTCTTAGTTTTAGCCATCACTAAAAATATACATATATAAAAACTAGATAAGCTTCCTAATACAATTTGTAAATGCATACTAGAGAGATAATTACAAATCTGTCTCATAATCATGCAACCAACTAGGAGGTTTGCGCTCTCTACTTGGGCGATGAAACACTGGTAGTTCTCCGTTAAAGCATGAATCAGTATCACTCTTTACAGGACCAGAGTCGTCCGGAGTTTCACATGTTGGCAACGGTTCGTCATTCCCCCCTGACAAAATTTGTGCATGCTTTTTGCGCATTCTGTCAACATGGATAACCTGATCTGATCCCCTCGGACCGCAATTGACAAGATATGTCAAGTCGGACATTCTTTTAACCACCTTAAATGGACCTCGCCAATAACTTGTAAACTTTGGTGATGTGCCTGGCTTTCTTCTTGGGAAGAAAACATAAACCTCTTCACCCGCTTCGAAATGATGCCATTTCAATTTTCGATCGTGGTAATGTTTTTGCCTGACCATTGCCTGATTCATTCTTGTTCTCACAAATTTATGAGCATTCTCTAGACGTTCTTGTAAATACCAAGTCCATTTATTGTTTGGCACCTCTTTAATTGATGGGGGCATCTCATACATCAAATCCAGTGGTGTCGACACCTCTCGTCCAAACATCATCATATTTGGTGTCATTCCTGTTGTTTCATGCACCGAGCTTCGATATGCCATCATTACAAAAGGAAGATGGACATCCCAATCAGTGTGGTGCTCATTGACAAAACCACTAAGCATTGTGGTTAACGTTCTGTTGAACCGCTCCACCATTCCGTCCGACTGTGGGTGATACGGAGTGGTGTGGGTTTTTTGTATGTCCAACAGTCTGCACATTTCCTTGAAAAGATTGCTTTCATACTGCGGACCCTGATCAGAATGTATCGTAGCTGGTACTCCAAATCTTGATACGACTTCTTCGACAATCTTTGTAGCAACGGTTTCTGCCTCCATGTTTGGCAATGCAAAGGCTTCCGTCCACTTTGTAAAGTAGTCTGCCACAACAAGGATATATTTATTTCCATTGGATGTCATTGGCAGTTCCCCTAAAAGATCAGTTGCCAGTCTTTCCATTGGATACCCCGTGAAGACTAAATGCA